CAGATCAGGAAAAATAAAGGATAAATAGTCTTATTTTTCTTTTATTTATCTTTCTCTTCACTCTTTTTCCTATAGGCCCTTCGCATCTTTTTATCAGCTGTGTCACATCGTCGATCTTCTATTTTGAAATGGATCTTCCAACGGACAAAAAAGGTCAGTTTTTGGCTATTCACTGTATCTCGAGTCTTCGGGTCCCAAAGTGTGTGCGTTATTTGACGAAGTCCATCGGTTATCCTGCACGGGGGAGAACACACCATTGCTTTCTCTTAGTATACATACACTCACTCGATTGTGAAAGGTGACAAGTGACATTTGGCTCCTTGTAAGTCGAGAAGAAACCCCCATATCACAACAACATCTTGTAGCATTTGCTGTTGCATTTGCATTAGCCAAGTAGAAGAGAAAAGTAGTGTGGAAGGCTTTCTTGATATCTATGAAAGATAGGAAGCAGTCCAGATCACCCGAGTACTTAACTACAAGTATTGGGTTGCCACCTAAAACCATCCACCGCTTCATGGAATCAATCGATGTAAAGCTTAATCTTCTCCTCCCCCTCTTTTCTTCTTTCTATATCATCTTCCTGTAATTGCCACTTTCTCAATGATTCATGCTGTGGCAGGGAAAAGATCGCCAAAGTATACCGTTCGCAGCCAACACTGCATGGCGCATGTCACCAACATCAGTCAGCAGCTGAGAGGTAACGCTGCTTCCCGTGGCGCAACCCACGACAGCGTGTTTGACGCTGAAGACTCCCATGCACGTCGCCACGTATCTCTCCTCCGCCGCATCTCCATCTCCACGATCCCCCGCTCCGCTAGCCATATCCTGTCACCTCTCTCCCCCTGGTTCTCTCTCTCGTCACCATGGTGAAGCTCGCTTCAGCCCGGGAGAGCAGGCTGTACGGTCCGCACTCGGTCGAGAACCGGTGGGAATACATCAACGCCGGCCTCCACGTCTTCGCCGCCGCCCTGCTCACCGCCGGCTTCTCCGCCGAGCTCCCTGGTCGCAGCAACGATGAGGTGGACCTGGCTGTCATCCTCGTGGCCTTGGCCCTCCTGGCCGTGGTGAACGCGCACGACCTCGTCGCCCACATGGCCGGCATCGACTACCAGTTCGGCCTCTTCGGGTACGACCTCCAGTTGGGGCTCGTCGAGCTCGCCGTCCCCCTGCTTCAGATGCTCGGATCCATTGTCACCTTCACTGGGATTCTTTTTCTCTTCATTCAGGTTGAACGGAGATCGACCAAGTTCTTCTATCTCATGCATGCTTGCAACTATTCCGACAGATATATATATATGCATGCAGGAAGAGAAGGGCTTCGATTACAAGATGGAGAAGGACGCTGTCAACATGCTGATCGCAGGGCCTCTGTTGTGGGTGATCGGCTCCATCCACAACGCGTGCCAGATCTACGAACGAGCCGATGGCGACACGCAGATTCTCCAATCCGGCGTCTACGTGCCTTTCCTCATGGGCAGCTTGTTGTTCTTCGTCGCCGGCATCTTCAATCGCCAAGATCTTCGCGGCTCGACACATCAGGAAGCAAGGATCACGGTGCGTGTCCGCAACCACGTTGTGAGCCCCCGACTTGGCTCATTCACCATACACTTGGTTTGTGTGTGCAGGCAATTAGCTGGGCCTGGTTATCCACCTTCGGGGGCTTGCTGTTCTTGGTAGGAGGACTGACGAATGTGGCGAAGGTGTTCAAGATGCAGCAGAGAGATGGGCTGAGGTTGGAGAAGCTTCGAGGTAGTGCGCAGGAAAGATTGTTTAGGGACAGGGAAGGCAGGTTCCCCATCTTGGAGAACAGCAGGAGGAGGCCGGGTGAGGAGGCCAGCACGGCTGCAGCTCCGAGAGGATGACTGCCATAAGAGAACAGTGAAGCAGAGGGGGAGAGAATGTAGGAGCGGTTGACGTCTTGTCATGTTCATACGATATAATAATTCCTATGTTCTTTTTTTAGCAGTTTGGTGATCTTGGAAAATTGAATGAGACTCTCTCTCGCGGAGGGGGAGAGGATGTAGCAGCGGTTCGCGTCTTGTCATGTTCATACGATATCATAATTCCTGTGTTCTATGAGACTCTCTCTCTCTCTCTCTCTCTCTCTCTCTCTCTCATAGGCACTGATCCATGTTATTTCTTTGTATCTTATGCGTAGTTCCATCATATTAGATACATTAGTACCTCTCTCTTTCTCTCGATTAGGCACTGATCCATGTTATTTCTTTCTATCTTATGCGTAGTTTTATCATATTAGATAAATTAGTATCTTATTTTGGTATTGATTTCGTGAAGAAATTTTTTTTTATAAGTAAAAATAAATTAATTAAATATAAAGTTTTTATAAATAATTTTATTTATATAAGTCATAGTCTAAGCCTGATAATTCATAGAGCACATATGCAATAGTTATGATTATATATATTTAAATTATAATTTATAATTATAATTAATAAATAAAATGTAATGTCCATGTCAAGATTAGTGGGTATAGTATATTATTAAAACATAAAATTACAGGATATATATAATTTTTTAATATAATTTTTTAAAAAAATTAATTAATAATAAAATAATATATTATTAAAATATATAATAATAGGATATATAATTTTTTAATATAATTTTTAAAAATTTTAATTAATAGTAAAATTGAATCTGATAAAAATATTTTTTTTTTCTTCATAAAACATATTTCATTTTGAGGTCGTGCTTCATGATCTTGAGTCTCTAATAATTTCTGTTAAGAGTTGAGCATTGTTTGTGTGGTGACACTCAAAGATTCTATTACATCTCTCATTCCAAATTTACCAAATGGTGCAAACTAACCTTTGTCAATTATGAATTTTGATGAAGAAATAACATTTAAGAGAGATTCCAAATTTATCAAACGGTGCAAACTAACCTTTGTCAATTATGGATTTCATGAAGAAATAACATTTAAGTAGTACAAAATGTCAGTATTTATTTCCTTAAGAACAAGCTTTTAATTAGTACCTTAATTTGGTATTTATTTTCTTAAGAAATAAGTTTTTAGAGAAAGAAAAAAATGATAATTAGTATCAAATATTTATTTTCTTAAAAGCAGGAGGGGAAAAGTGATGGCTTGATGGGGGTGTATAAAAATTGATTAATTAGTACCTTAGTTGGGACTTACTTTCATGAGAAATAGCTCTTTTATGGGAGAGCAAGAAAAAACTGTTTAATTAGTACCAAATATTTCATTGTCATAAAAATAGGAGAAAAAGTGATTATTTGATGGATAGAGAAAAAAAGATTAATTACTATCTTAATTTTGTACTTATTTTGTTAAGAAATAGTGTTTGTAGGGGAGAGCAAGATATTAATATTAGGAGCAAGAACGACACTAAGAGGGGGTGAATTAGTGCAGCAGATAAAAATGATAAATTTAAATAACTTCAGAAAACTTCGTGCGATGAAACTCTTAATTCAATGTAAATCGTTTTGAAAAGACGTTTGACTCGAATAAGTTTGTAAGTGAGTAGAGAGGAGGGGATTGGACAGTTTGCAATGAAGTAAAATAGAATGCAGCAAAAGTAAAATACACACCATGAATATAACATACCAATTTTATAACGGTTCGGTCGTCCAACCTACATCCACTACTAACACCTCCTCCAATGAGGTTATCGATTTCCACTATTGATCTTTCTTAAAGGGCAAAGATCAATCACCACTTTGCAGAACTTTAACAAGCGGCTCACACTCCTTTTACAAACTTTCACACTTAGATACGATGGAGGTGAACTCTCAACTTTTACGAGCTATTTCATTATAGTTTCGGTTCAGTTCTTATCACTTCTCTATGCTTTACCAGCTAAGAAGTAAGCGGTATTTATAGGGCTCAATTGGCTTCAGAATTGGAAAAAAAAATGTCACATCCTCGATTTTCAAGATACTAGCGGTACCACCGCATGCAGACTGACATTGGGCAGTACCATCGCCTGACAAAGCCTCGGCGATTGGGCTTTGGCGGCACCACCGCTTGATAGCCTTTATGGCCGACGGTACCACTACCCAAACCTCCTGGGACGCTGAGCCTCAAGCGGTTCCACCGCCCACCCTGGGCGGTGCCACCGCTTGGCAAGGCTCCAAGTGGTCGAGTAGGCCTTCCATCTGACCCAACTCAGTATTGTTTTGGGCCCAATTGGCCCCTAACTAGTTAGAGGGATTACCTCCCAATCCTAACCCTAATTATGTGATAACTTCGATTTTTAAGGTATACACTAAACAAAACAAGTCCGGTAAGTCTAGGTTTCTTCCGGTGAGCTTCCAGTGATCTTCCGACAGACTTCCGACGATCTCTTAGCAATCTTACAGTGGACTCTCGGCAAGCTCCTAGACTTCATGATGATCTTCTTGACGAGTTCCGATGAGCTTCTTTGGCAAGCTCCTTTGATTTCTCGGCCAATTTCCGTGGCACTTCCGACGAACCTTCGGACTTCCGATGAACTCCCAATGAATTCTCGATCTTGACTCCGTCACTTTGTTTTGCTTTATGCCTTGATCACTATCGTAGTTAATCCTGCATACTTTTATCAACATATAGATTAGATCAAACAATTTACTGATTGATTTCATCATCAAAATCTGAGATTCAACAATCTCCCCCTTTTTTATGATGATAATCAATTGATGATAGAGTTAACCTTAACTCCCCTCTATCTATATGTCATACTTGAGAAAAGATACTCTTAAATTCAAGGTCTTTGAATTCAAACATCAAACCGATAAGTTATATGCATTTAAACTTATTGACATGTACATCATGATACTAATCATGTTTTACTATCTCAAAATATGAATAATATATTTATTACAATAAAAATGATGTCAAGGCATGCCATCCATTTTCAAGTCCAATATCGAATGATCATTTTCAAGTATGATACAAATTACAAATATGAAATGTAGCAAGATTCAAATTTTAAGTTTGATAAAAGATGGCAATTCATTAATCCATACACATTGGAAGTTAAACATGATAAGTTTAATACCTCATCATAATGATAGACATTTATCATTTTAATACGAAATCAAGCATGATTTTAAGAATGAAATATTTTCAAGTATCCGTGCCACATTACGATGCGTTTCAAGCATTCATGACACATTTCAAGTATCTACGATACATACGATGCATATATACATTTTGATATTTTTCAAGTATTTGCGATGTATTTGATGATACCAATCATATTTCAAGCATTGGCAAAACATTCAAGCATTTACGATACGATACATTTTACACATTATTTCAAACATTCAAAATGTCAATTTGTTATTAATTTACCATATTTCTCCCCCTTTGTCATTAACAAAAAGGAGAACCATTCAACAATACAAGTGTTTTTTAAAAAGATATTAAAGTAAGCAAAAACATTGCTTTGGATGCTCAAAAACTATTTGGTTCTTCTTAAGATGTGTAAGTTTCTTTCTTCTTTTGTCATAAAAATAATAAGAAGAGGAAGAAGAATAAGGGAGGAATTCATTCTCCATAAGAAATCAAGAACCAAATTCATGAAAGTTAAATTTTATTAAATCAAGCTTCTACTACAGCAAAGGGAGAGGTTTCAAAATAAATGATAAAAAATCCATGAATAAAACTTCATAAATCAAATGCCTTTTCTTGTAAATAGAAGGATTCATAGGAATTGATAAAAGATCAAGTCATTAATAAAAAATCTATGAGTGAAGGGACTAAGTGTATCAAAAATCATTAAGTGACGGAGCAAAGGAATGAAGTAAATTTGATACAAGCTAAGAGGAAGATACAAATTAAATAAATTCATAAAAGCTTTATTTATGAAAAATCGAGAAAGTCTAGAAAAGATATACAACAAACTTATGCATTCAGACAGTTTAACATCCCTAACTCTCTTCTAATGAAATTAAATTATTCTTCATTTAAAGGTTTTGTAAAGATATCGACTAATTGATGTTTTGTATCAATAAACTCTAAAGATATATCATGGTTATTAACATGATCTCTTATAAAATGATGCCTAATGTTAATATGTTTAGTTCTTGAGTGTTGAATATGATTTTTTGTTAAACATATTACACTTGTATTATCACATTTTATGAGAATATTCTTAATGTGAATGCTATAATCTTCTAATATATTTTTCATCCATATAACTTGTGCACAACATGCACCAGCTGCTATATACTTAGCTTCGGTTGTAGATAATGCAACCGAGTTTTGTTTCTTGAAAGACTAAGAGACAAGTGCATGACCTAAGAATTGACATGTTCTGGATATGTTTTTTCTATCTTTTCTATATCTAGCAAAATCCGCATCAGCATAAGCAATTAATTCAAAGTTTTCAAATTTTGGATACCATAATCCTAGATTAGGGGTTCTTTTAAGATATCTAAGAATTCTTTTAATGGCTTTAAGATGAAATAGCTTAGGATTAGATTTAAATCTAGCACAAAGTCCTACGCTAAACATGATGTCCGATCTAGTTGTAGTGAGGTATAGTAAACTACCTATCATACTCATATAAGTTTTTTGATCAAAGCTTTCTCCACTTTCATCCATGTCTAACTTAGTAAAGGTACTCATAGGAGAATTGATAGTCTTTGAACCATCCATATTAAACGGTTTTAGCAATTCTAATACATATTTGATTTGACTAAGAAAAATACCATCACTAAGTTGTTTGATTTGTAAGCCTAAGAAGAAAGTTAGTTCACCCATTAAACTCATTTTAAACTTTTGGCTCATACTATTGGCAAATGATTCACATAAGGATTTATTTGTAGAACCAAAAATAATATCATCGACATAAATTTGAATAACAAGAAAGTTATTTTTAAAAATTTAATAAATAAT